GGATGTGAGAGGCCCATGGGAGGGCCCACCTACTCCACTACTGTATCGCAACTATTACAGCGAAAGCTGTTATGAGATCAGAACATGGGTAATGCGCAGTGCCGTAGTTTTTTGTCGCTGCTGGTGTCCACAACCGGTATCGAACGAAAAAAAAAAAAAAACTCGGAAAAGTAAGAACACCAATAACACAATGAGTTTCAAACCCAGGTCCGTTTCATGCCAGCCCAGTATTCTACCACTGAGCCACACTAGTGCTTAGAACTCATTCCTAAACTGGCCTTAGGCAGTCTTGATGTCGGGAAAGGAATCGCGGTACTATGAGTAATAAAGCGTTTTAGAACATCGAAGGAACAGCCAGGCGTCACACAATGAGAATTGCATAACGAGTGGGTCATCCAATGCTCCACCCATTAGAAAACTTGTTCTTGATCACCTATTAACTGTGGTGCATACCCACTTAAGGCATATTTCTTCATCGTCATCAACCACTCCATAAAAAAAATTGCACAAAATTTCTAACAAGTTTGTAGGGGATACCATTCTTCTCCAAATAATGATAGTGAATGCTGGCCTACTGCACAAAATTTATAATTATTTATGGCATAGTTATGTACCCAGAAGTGTACTTATAGCATCCCCAAGAGTGTTTATAAAATGCTCTGAAAGGCTGCTCTTCTAGCTTTCATTGTGACTGTTCTGTGCCTACTGTGCAAACCTGGCATTTTTACTACTTGAAAGTACGAGATAATAATGTGCCACATACAACACAGATAAGGTGAGATATTCCATGATGTTAACCCTAATGGGAAGAAACAAAGGAAATTGTGCCAAATTTATCCCAATTTTTCAATCAATTTGTTGAGCTTCTTGTTTTGAAAAAATGGCAATGTTATTTCGTACCAATGGGGTTTTTTACTTCACTAAATGCATAAAACAGATACCCTGAAGTTTTCTTTACTGCATAAAAATAAGGTGAAAGCTGAGACTCACATATATGGCATAATGTGAAAAAGTGCAACCATATGGTGTCAAGAAACAAACTACAATGAGATTAGTCATTGGTTTCATGTGGGATGATGAGTATAGCCATCATTGGTCATTTTGGTACAACAGCTCATGATAGCTGTACTCAAGAGAGAGGGCATGGATTAAAAAGCATCGAAACCATCATCGAAAAAGCATGCTAAACTTTAATGCTTTATTAACCAACTCAGTCTGACTCGTACCGAGCCGTGAGTCTGAGTCAGCCTAAGTGAGTATACAGTAATATTTTAGTGAGTTTGAGTAAAAGTGAGCCCTTATCGCAAAACATATTTCTTGTGTGAGCCTGAGCTTTACTTTTTTTTGCGATTGACCTAAGATTGGTGCAGGCATTGCATAACATATGTATGGAAGGATGTCATTAAAGCAGCAGAAAGGTGAGCCAGTTCATGTGAACGCATGGTACGCAAAGGCAGACCCACAAAATACAGGCACAGTCAGTGACTGTATGTAGAGTTAGCTCGTTTTGATATATATATATATATATATATATATATATATATATATATATATATATATATATATATATATATATATATATATATATATATATATATATATATATATATATATATATATATAATATATTATATACCAAATACACAGCTCTGACGAATTTATTTCTTAAAAAAAGCTGAAAATATAAAAATATAAATTCCTTTTTTAGAAATAAATTCGTTAGAGCTGCGATTTTATTCCGTAAGGTGCAACCGGGTATCTGGAACATTGTTTGGTTTGGTGTACTTGTGGACAGGAGCAAAGGCCAGAGAGGAAAACTAGGCAATGGTTGAGTGTATATCAAAGGACATTGAGGAATTAGGAGGAGAGTGCGAGATAATTATACAAGGAGATATGAATGTGCATATAGAAGATATAGATGAGTATACTGACCCAACAGGCAAAATGATCATGGATATGTGTAAAAGGCATGATTTGATCATTTGCAACAGTACCGAGAAGTGTGAAGGGCTAATAACATGGGAGGAAGGAAGGTTGCAGTGGACGATAGATTATGCACTGATGTCGCGTAAGATGTATGATAGGCTCAGGGGAATGCACATAGATAAATGTGGCTCCTGAAGTCTGGGTAGTGTTTACAAATATATCAGGCTAAGTTTTGGAAGGGCAGTGAAAGTGGGAAGGAGACAAGATGAGCAACTACAGGAAAATTTTTATTCAGAAAGCCAAATAGAAATAGCTACTAAACAAACTGAGAAAGTAATCACTGAGCATAATAAAGCAGTATGTACATGCACGAATCTAATTAGATTGTTTGAGCTAGAGCTTACTAAGGCATGTGACAAGCCACCCCAGAAAAGAAGACACAAACCCAAGAGTTGGTGGGATGAGGAAGTTAAGAGAGCCATAGCAAAACGGCAAGAAGCCTCTAGGGAACACATACATGCTAAGCAGCGGGGTGAACCGACAGATGATGTTGAAAGAAAATGGGACATCTTTCTAAGCTGTAGAAGGGAAGCATCCCTTCTGATCAATGAAAAAATTAGAAGGAAGGGAGCTCTGTGGCTGGCAGAAGTACATAAAAAAGATAGAGAGGCAGCTGCGAAATTTTGGAACCATCTAAACTCCCTAAGAAATGAGGCGAGCCTAGAGCGGAACTTTATAACTACAGCCCAAGGTGCTAGGCTAGAAGGGGACGAAGCTATTGAATATATAAGAACAAGGGTGACAGAAAAATTTCAACAAAGAAGCACTTTATGCACCACAATAGACAAAGACGAATCAAGTGGTGCAATGGCTCCATTTTCACAACAAGAGTGGGAAAGGGCTGAGAAAAGGGTTCCTAGTAGTACATCAACAGGCCCAGATGGCATTCCAATTAGGCTGATAAAAACATTAGGTCCGAAGTCTAAGCAGGCTCTGAGAGAGGCAGTGAGCAAAACAATAATCGATGGTGAAGTTCCCAATGAATGGAAACTTAGCAGGATGAGCATGATCTATAAAAGAAAGGGGGAAAAAGCTGACATACACAACTACTGTCCTGTAACAGTGACATCAGTGGTCTACAGGCTGGCGATGCAGATTATAAAGGAAAGACTGCAGGCATGGATAGAGGATAAGAGGGTGCTGGGGGAACTGCAGATTGGTTTTTGGAAACACAGGAGGTTGGAAGACAATCTGTTCTCACCGACACAGTGCATCGAAATAGCAGAAAAGGAACACAGGCCCCTGTGGCTAGCATTTTTGGATATCAAGGGAGCGTACGATAGTGTGGTTCAATAGGACTTGTGGGGAATACTGGACACACTAGGTGTGGAAGATGGAGTCACTAATCTTTTAAAGGATATCTGTAAAAGTAACAAGGTAGTTATAAAGTGGGAAAAACAGGTATCCAAGCCCACAGAGGTAAAATGGGGGCTTAGGCAGGGGTGTCACAGAACACCTACCAGTGTCACAGAACATGACATACCTCCAAGGATTAGAGGCCAAATTAGAGGGAAGTGGACTTGGCTTCAACCTTTCTTTCGTCAAACAAGGAAAACTCATTGAACAGGCACTACCAGCATTGATGTAAGCAGATGATAGTGCTAATGGCCGACAACAAGGAATATTTGCAGAGATTGATGGACATCTGCGGTGATGAGGGAGATAGGTTAGATTTCAGATTCAGTAAGGAAAAATCAGCAGTCATGATATTTAATGATAATGAAGATAGTGAGCTTAGAATACAGGAGGTCACACTAGAGATAACAGATAAATACAAATATCTGGGCGTATGGATAAGCAATGGGACCGAGTACCTAATGAAGGTAGTGAGCTTAGAATACAGGAGGGCACGCTAAAGATAACAGACAAATACAAATATCTGGGCGTGTGGATAAGCAATGGGACCGAGTACCTAAGGGAACACACAATATACGTGACGACTAAAGGTAACAGGAATGCAGCAGTGATGAAAAACAGAGCACTGTGGAATTACAATAGGTATGATGTTGTGAGAGGAATATGAAACGGGGTCATGGTTCCTGGTCTGACGTTCGGCAATGCGGTCTTGTGCATGAGATCAGAAGTTCAAGCAAGATTAGAAATTAAGCAATGTGGAATAGGTAGACTTGCCTTAGGAGCTCATGGGAGTACACCAAATCAGGGAGTACAAGGTGATATGGGATGGACATCATTTGAGGGTAGGCTAAAATTTGAGAAGCGATTGAGAGGAATGGGGGAGGAGCGTTGGGCTAGAAAGGTTTTCAGCTACTTGTACATAAAGAATGTCAATACAAAATGGAGGAAGCCAACCAGAAAATTGACTGGTAAATACTTAGAAAACAGCAGGGGGCCAAACCAAAAAGAATTATAGGTTAAGAAGAAGGTGAAGGAAGCTGAGACCGATATGTGGATAATTGGCATGATTAAGAAGTCCTCACTAGAGATCTATCAAACTTTTAAGCAGGAAATTGCCGAGGAAGGGATTTATGATAATACTCGGGGTAGTTCTCTGCTGTTTGAGGCCAGGACGGGGGTATCGCGAACCAAGACAATTGAAGACATATTCGGGCCAAATACGAAGGAGTTTGGACACGGTATGCAGTGCGTGTGGAGAGGAGGAGGAAACTGCCGAACACTTGATAATGTTCTGTAAAGGGCTTCACCCTATAGTTCAGGATGATGGCTCAGAATACTTCAGAGCATTGGGGTTTAGGGACAGGGAGGGCAAAAATAGACTTTAGGCGGGTAGAAATAACTAGAAAAAGGTTATCTGACTGGTGGCTAAAGTCAAGGCACGAGTGAAAATTAAACTCTTCACTGCAAAGCACCAGTCCTCTACTTCACTTTTTCAAGGAAAAAAAAAGATAAATGTAGTTTTTGGTTCACTAAGTATTACGGCTAGGTGGCGTTAGCCGCCGCCTGATCTAAAGGGTACAAATATATTACTTCATCCATCTACCCACCGGCGACTTCATTAGCGTGAGCAACATTGGGAGCGGTATCGTGATGTGACGTCATAACGTCATAAAGGCGCGCAAGAGCGTGAGGTACGTTGTCAGGTGTTGGGACCAAGAATCTAGCAACGTCGGTTGTGACAGCCTATGGCTCGCCCACGGTAGTTCATTCCAAACACACTTCGCACTCACCAGAATATTTCAACCGAGAACAACTGCAGCAGGCGTACTAACTGACGTGGGCTTCAAATGAGGTAAGGCAACATACCATTGTTTCTTGGCGCCTTCCTTTTGTTTTTGAAAGAGTTTTTGTTTGCGTCGGTGAAACTTTATATTTGCTGCGTTCCGACTTTTGCTATTTTTTGAAATGCAGTCATTCATATCGAACACTTAAGCTGTTTGCCAGATAGGTTATTGTTAACTGATGTATATACATTTAAAAAAAAATGTGCGCAGGTCCTGCTGTTATGGATGCACAAGACGACGGATATTACGCTTCATGGAACTCCTATCGAAGGAGACCGCAGTGCAAGCTCCTGGAAACTATATATGAATATCCAAAGCTGCGCATGAATGGCAGGAAGCAGTTCATGTCCGTGAGGAAATACAAGCGGTTCATAGATTTCACTGCAGGGCCAACAGCGAGCAAAACGTGGAAAAGAAGTCAAAAAGCGCGGAAACTTGCTAGCAGTCGCTTAAAGCACGCCTTTGGAGCTTCCAACTACGGTGACGGGCCGCTGCACTCGGTCCGCCGTGTGCGAAATGCAAGAGCGCGCACACCGCCTTTGTTCGAGAACCGATCGGTCTCGCAAGAATGCTCCGAAGCATGGACGAGGCCGCCGAGCTTCTTCAAAACTGCCGTTGCTGCTGCTTTGGAACGTGTGGGCGAGACAGATGACGGGTCTGCCAGGAACGACGAGCCTCGTGTAGGGCCAGCGTGTATTGGTAACTTTGAATTGCCAGAAACCTTTGTTGTGTCAAACACGGACTTAATTGTTGAGGAGGCTGCCACTATTGAATTGCCTCTAGATTGCAGAAGCGAGAAGGAAGATACTCTAGGCATCGATTTTAATAGAGATTGTTCAGTACGTGAATATGACGAAAATGTTTCATCCGGGGATAGCACTATTACTCCGTGGTGCTGTGTGCTGCAATGTCCAGAGACAAAGGAAGATCATACCATGTATTGTTACAGCAGTGGTGATCCGTCGCGGGTGGTTGACTGTAGAAACGGTGCTTTTTGTGGGAAAAGCCAGGGGGAAACACTGGGCGGAACAGTGCCATTATAAGGTTTTCGTACAGTTTCTGACAGGAGGCCCCTGCGTGCGTGGCCAACATGCCAAGGGGACGATGTCTCTAATACCGCGATGGAACGGGTTTCAGTGGTTGACACAGCTCACAGTCTCTGTGAGAGTGTTGTGAAAACCAGTGGAGCAAGTGGTCATTAGAATAGTAAGAGTTGTTTACTAAGCCAGGCAGTAAAAGCTAACAATGGTAATGTTATATAACATTATTTTGCTAGCTTTTATGTGCACATGATATGTGACAGTCGCTAGTACACAAGAGTTTTTTTATGCTGCATTTGTTGTTCTATGTAAAACTTATCAGTGAGCAGTGCATTATTGCAAAAGGCTTGTGCAGTGCAGCTGATACAGTGTAATACAGTCCAAATGCAAACATAATGTGAACCTGCATTGTGATCCTCTGCTGTGCCTTTAATTGCTGAGCACACATGCAGGAAGTTTTATCACAGTCAGTATGGGCTACGGTATGCGAGTGCATAGCAAAGGGCTGTCCCAGGTTACTTGTACAGATTATACTTTGTTCACAAATTGGACAAGGCACCAATGTTCCCGTAGCGTATAAATACAGTGGTGCCTTTTTGTCATGTGGAATAGTTTAGGACTGTCGAGCAAAGAATGTTGAAGTTGTGGCTTGTTTTATTTCTGGAATAATGAGCGCTCGCAACTTGTGCAAAAAGTGATCACTGCGTGTTTTCGCGAGACCAAAATTTTGAACATTGATCTAAAAGAAATAGTCGTAATGAGCCCTGAAAAGATGTTTGAGACAAGGGAGCTTGCATCCTCCCCTTGAATGTCCCAGTATAAACTGGGACTTCGTACAGTATAAACATCTTGTGATAGGCACCATTATGCAACTTTGGGAAGGTGCTTTGCCATGCGCTCTTGCAATGTAGGCCATAATGAACAAAATGCTACTTGTTTATTTTATTGCTCCAATGGTGCGAGAAGAGTCTAGCAATTGTTTGCCTGGCCAGCATGCACATTTGTCTAAAAATTCTTGGACCAAGGTGATGGCCCTCTGACATATAGTTGCACTATTACTGTATACTAGTGATCTTTGGTTTATAAGTACCTGCTAGTCCGATCTGATCGCAACAAGCATTTGGTTGCATTGCAAGTTTTTTTAGATGTTTTCAGATACTTTAGCGTTATAGACTAAGAGATGACTTTTTGTCACCTTTGTACTTTAACTGTTTTATATATTAACCAAACTTTTTTTAGTTCTGTTCCTGGCGCAAAAAGCTGAAATGAGAATTGTGCGCCTTTTCAATGCTGTACCAAAAAGCTGGTCTTTCATTACTGTTGTATGTTATATTTCGAGAACTGTTGTATAGTTAACCGAAGTTTTCAAGTTCTGTACCTGGATTAAAAAAAAAAAAAAGAAACCGGGGATGAGATGTAGTTTGTCATGCTTCTTGAAAAGTAGTAGGTGGTGGCAGGCCGAAAATGCGAGAGCAGCTCCTGCTGGAAATGCTGGCTCTCCGTGCCTCCGTGCAAATTCAAAAAAAAAAAAAAATGAGGCATTTTAGTGATACGGCAACAATGGAATGAAATGTGGTCATGAACAGCCAAAATGAGCATGTGCAGGAAGAGTGACTATTTCACAACACATGCATGGTTTACTGAAAATTTGTGCATACTCATTTCCACAACATGAAAAGAAAGACAGCATGACCGTGTTGTAATAAGCTTATGCTGATTTCTCCATAATCATCAGGTAACTATACTTGCAGACAACTTTTCTTGGCAATGAAGGGAATGCTGTGGGGACAGAGCTCGTGCACATGTACTCCTCTGCAAAGTAGTCCGTTTTTGCTCACGTTTCGAATGATGGCTGTGTTTTAATGATATTGCATGTAATTTGCTTCGTCTGCTTGGACAGTCATTTCGGAGCGAAATTCCTTCGGCAAGTCATCAGAATAGCTGGATGGCGACAAGTGCTCACCTGAAGGTAAAGACCCCATTTTGCCTGACGTGCACTGAAAATGTGCCACGTTTTCACATGTGAAAAAACTTAAAAATGACACTGCATAAAGTAAAACAAATACAATTATCTCCTCAGTGTGTTTTACACAACTTTATAAACAGCGTTCCGAAGAAAATAAAGTGTTGTTTTTATGATTTTCATGGGGAAAAGACCGACAGACATGTGGCACTATATCTTTCAGCAGTGGTACACGCCAAATTTGGCTCCATAGCCTTCCCTTCATTGGCAAGATAAGCTGCCCACGATTATAGCTCTGCTGAGAATCATTGCACAAATGTGTATACCCACTCCAGGGGCTCTGGGGTGCTACCGTGGAGTGATTCTATTGCAGTTCTGGCTTTTTTGTGCCTTGTGTCAGACCAACAGCCATCTCCAACTTGTCACAAGGGGAGGCCCAAAAATATTGACCAATGGCATTGAAAGGCACAAGAAAAAAAAAGTTATCGAATCGCTACACGTTAGCCCTCTAGAGGTGTTAGTGTTTCTGCTGCTGAGCACATGGTCACAGATTTGGCATTCTGCTTGGGTGAGAGTATTCTAACAAAAGTGGAATGTGAAATTGCTTGTGTACCAAGCAAGACTGCTGTGGCACCAAGAAGCCTGCACCATGTTATCTCATATCGCTTGTGTCACTTGATAATGTTGGACATCATTGCACAATATGTGTGCAAGAATACAGGGGATTTTGGGTTAAACAAGCTGCCTGATCTCGTACCTAAAGCTGGTGTTTAACCCAATAAGCTGCCATTCATGAGTGAATGCCTGATGTTTGCATTTCAAGCCGTTGTCACTATTTGGACTTAATAAATGTGCTCTTCCATATCTTTGAAACCCTTGCGTATGAAACAACAGTAGCTAAATCATTTTCTAGCCAGACTAACGGTCATTATAAATTTTTATTTCCCCCTGACAAGGGTTGCAGGAAGTTTGACAGCTTGTTGGTACGTTCTTGCGACTTCTTCTGAGGAGTGCTACATGATGGGACAAGAAACTAGCACAGTATGTTCCTCCCTTGAGATTATCATTTGTCATAAGGTGAGGGTGTCTGAACAGCAAGCACTCGTATAAAATAGAATGCACGTATTTCAATAAAATTGAGCTGAAAAGACTAATCAAATATAGAATATTTTTTATAATCTTAAGGAGCAATGTGCCGAGGGCATTTGATTAAAAGGTCAGGTCTACATTATTTGAAATGTAAAGTCAATTCTGGGTAGATTTAATGCCATTTATAATAATCTTTATTGTACAGAACATGAAAAGAAGGGAAAAGGGGGGTGTAGGAGCACATACAAGGTGAGGGACTGCCTTTGGTGGCATGCTAGGCATCTCGATTAGGTTCAAATCCTTATGTGAAGTGCCTGCGGCCCACCTGTGAGAGCAGCTTCTGATAAAAAAAAAGCTTAAATGTGATTCTAACAGAAATGGGGCATGTATAGAGCACCATGGTTGTTACAGTGATCTAATACAGAAATTTCATGCCAGATAGCACTTTGTAGTGAGTTGTGTTTATTGAAGGAATTAAATGTAGTGCTATAGCTGCATACATCCATTTAAGTAGATGCAATTGTGATGTTAATGTGAAAGTGAGAGACTACTTCGCACTTCCTATTTTGATTGAAGTGAAGGAACAATGAAACAGAGGAAAAACAAGTTGCAGTGGACAGAAAAACAACTCTATGCTATGGGGGGCAGCGACCTTGCATTGTGCTCGACCAGCTAACTACAGTGGCGGCCATCGTCCTGCTGTCTTTAATATTAAACTACAAATACTATCCTTGTACTACTTTTTTTGGCTTCATAACCTGTTTGTTAGCTTCGTATGGCTGTGTCTAACAAAAAAACACTCCCCTCAATCTATTCGTTTTTCTTTCAGTCATGGCATGTGTACCACAATATGTAAAATGAGGAAAAAAAAATCAAACCTTATTATAAAAGCTGCATGTAGCAGTGCCTCTGCGAGTTTTCATAGGGACTGCAGTTTATGTAAAAAAGGTTTTTGCACTGCCTCAAAAATATAATTGGACAGGCACATTAGGTATTGTTGCATCTGCCCACTTCAGTGTATATGAACTACCTGCAACACCATTTTACTTCTTTTTTTGTGTGGTAGATTAACATTCCGCACATTTCATGCCAGTTCATAAATAAAAACATTCAAATTGAGGGGTATAATCTTTGAAAACTGCCCAAACTGTTAAAAGTAGCACCATTGTGGTAGATTAAATGTGTGTTAATGGGCTAGGTTAGGTAAGAGCCACGATTTTTGAAGAAGCAGCACACGAAAGGACACAAAACACGTACACATAAAAAGACGCAAACACAAGTGCTGCTGTAGTACAGCAGTTGTGTTTGAGACTTTTTTTGTGCATGTTTTGTGTCCTTTTGTGTGCTGCTTCTTCAAAAATCATTGTGGTAGGCTTTACATTTATTTGGCCACCCACAAGCATGGGTCTGCAGTGTTGCATACAAGTGTTTTTGTTTGGTCAGCTTTCAGAATCCAATGGCCATAACTACAACCCCTCAATTTAAGCCAGAAAATTCAGCAAAAGGGTGCATAACTAGTTTGGAATAGCAGTAACCACCAAAAAACAAACAAAGGTTTAGAAACACTTTTATTATACAACAATGCACCAGGTGAATTAGTAACTATTCATCATCACATCAGTCAACACCACTATAAACCCACCACATCGTAGCACCCATAAATGTGATGCTGAGAAAACACTTCATAGAACAGTGTATACTAACAGACCATTTGGAACGACTAGTATAGAAAATACTGGTGACAATAGTGAAATTAGTACAAATTAAGGATAAACACAATACATGTACTCATTATAAGATGAAAATTGCAGTGTACATGAAATAAAGGCATTGAAAGTAAAGCTGTCATTTTGAACAAAGAGACCAGTTATTTTATTACACAGACACACACACAAGAAAAGGGCCCCACGAAATCTGCTTCAAAACAGATATCTACTTTGAACTGCTGTGTGTTAAATAATCGAACATGAAGGTCATGCATCACTTTGCATTGCAAGGCTTTCTGCTGATGGAGCTACCTAGTCTAATCTAGGTACATAGCAAAGTTGGCGGTTGGTTAAGCGATATTTTCACATTTTTAAAATTTATATCTTAACATAAAGTGCTTTCAGAATGCTGAAATACCAAAACGCAAAAATGAGAAGTATTAACAGAATTAAGATGATTTTCTTTGTCAAACAAGCTGCTGCAATAAAGTACACAAGCTGTACAATAACCGGAATAACAAGTATCTGGAGCAAGATAACCATTAGAGACTAGGAGCTCTATCATAGCTACTGAGAAGGGGAAATGTCATTGAAGCCAAAAAAAAAAGGGACACTGAAATGTTATTTGTATATAGTATGCTTTTGTTTACATTCACGGGGGAAAAGAAAAAATTCATGGAAGCGAACACAGGCATTTGCTGTTGGATCTGAACTAAACTATACACGATGTCTGTGGTATTTCGATAAATAGCTGCAGTAGCACTTGTTTACTTCCCTTCCTCTGGTATTTATGAGCTGTTCTCAACTATCGAAAGATATAACCTCATTAGTGCTCAAGTGACCATAGTAGCTTGAGACTAGACTGATTACACACAGCTTAGTCTTTCATTATTGAACATCTGCATTAGGCATCACAGTAGCTGCTTGTTTTATTTTTAGCGAAATGCAAGGAGCAGCAAACTCGCATGACTGAACACAGTTGAGGTGTTTCCTAACACCAAAAGCAATGTGCACGCTCATGTAACAGTCTTAAAAGCGAGCCAGTGCTGGTGACACCCATATAGCAGATGTGGAACACTCGATGTTATTAGTGGCTTTTGGGACATTTCCTAAGAAGCAGAGAAGCGACTGGCATATTGTACTCTTCTGCAGCTTATGCAACTCTGTGACTGAAATGAAGCGACACATGACCTTATGAAATAGTGCGAGCTATGCTTTCCTACTTTGATTGTAGTATTGCGTGTCAGTTATGTAGAACAAAACTATGGACCCCATTTACTTTTCAGCCCATTTGCACGTCTTAGGGCACAACTAAAGGCACAGCTAGATGAGCATCTATTAAATTTTTTTAGATACACTAGCTTTGCCACACACAATAACATGGCCAACATAATACACCAATACTTTATACTTTAATGTCACGCTCAGGGACACGGTGGTTGAAAATTTAGTGCAAAATATCCACTTGTATTGACTGATATGTGGAGTTTAACGCCCCAAAACCACCACATGGTTGTGAGAGACGCCGTAGTGGAGGGCTGCAGAAATTTAGACCACCTGGGGTTTTTCAACGTGCACCCAAATGTGAGCACACGGGCCTACAGCATTTTTTCCTCCATCGAAAATGCAGCCGCCGCAGCCTGGATTTGACC